CCCCAAAACCCCAAAACCCCAAAACCCCAAAACCCCGAAAAATTTAAATTATAGAATAATTCAAAACTAGTGCGCTAATGAATCAGAGCCAGTTAGAAGACTCGGTGAGTCTGCAGGAGTCCGAGATTACTGATGAAACATCTATTGATGATATTGTTAAGAGCATAGAGAATTCTACCTCTAAAAAGAATAAGAAAAAGAGAAGAAAGAAGAATAAAAAGACTGATCACCAAAAAGATTTACCTGAAGAAGAGGTTTCAAATGAAAATGTGAAAGAAGAAGCAAAAGTATTACAAACTCTTGATGCAAACCTTAATAGTCAGAAAACTCTCCCTGTTACAACAGTTACGACTAAGGAAGATGAAAAGATAAAAGCGGATGTTAAGGCTAGTTCGACTCAGAGGTTTCAGAAGGAAGAACAGAAAGAGAGGAAACCTGCTCAATCCGCTCCTAAGATAAAGCAAGATGATGTCTTCAGACCCAGGAAAATTGAACTCACCGATAGCTTTTGGGATATTTATAATAGCAGTGTCAGCAGTGGCTCAGACAATGAGTCACTTCCAGACTATAAGGAAGGTGGATATCACCCAGTTCATATCGGAGAAACATTTAATAAAAGATATAGAGTTCTTAAAAAGCTTGGCTTTGGTGCCTTCTCAACTGTCTGGTTCTGCCATGATATGTTTCATAACAAATTTGTTGCTATTAAAGTCCAAAAATCAGAAGAAAGCTACTATTCAGCAGCAGAGGATGAAATAGAAATTTTAGACAAAATAGTTGATAACATAAAAACTGAAGAATGGAAAGAGTCAATTGAAGAATATAATGAGCCTAATAATATAAACTCTGCTCACTGTCTCCATATGATGGATCATTTCACTTTTGAAGGACCTCATGGAAAGCATATAGGTATGGTCTTTGAAGTCATGGGACATAACCTTCTTAAAGTAATGAAGCTATACGACTGGGACGGAATTCCTTTACCAATCGCAAGAACTCTCGCTCGGCAAACTCTAATCGGCCTGGATTATCTTCACAGGCTATGTAATGTTATTCATACTGATATAAAACCTGAAAATGCTATCCTATGTCCGAATGAGAAACAGCTAATGGAGCATTTGGATACAATCCCAGACCACTTTAAGACAAGCATTCAGGGTCCAATCCAGTCAAGTATGTTCTTCAGCAAGGAGCAGAACAAGATAAATAAAAGAAAAAAGAAAAATAAGCCCAAAAAGAAAGAAAACAAAAATACAGAAGAAGACAAAGAAGAGGATGAAAAGAAAATTCTTGACGAAAGCGTACAGGTCAAACTCTGAGATTTCGGAAACGGATGCTGGATAGACCATCATTTTACCTCCAATATTCAGACAAGACAGTACAGATCACCAGAAGTAATCCTTGGTGGAGAATATAATGAAACATGTGACCTCTGGAGTTATGCATGTATGGTATTTGAACTTATCACTGGAGATTATCTCTTCCATCCTAAAAAGAGAGATGACTGTAGTAAAGAGGATGATCATATCGCCTTTATTATTGAGCTCATTGGTAAACCAGAACTTAAGTGGCTGAAGCAGTGCAAGAGATATAGAAAGTTCTTTACAACTAGAGGAAGGATGAAGAAGATTTTCCATCATAAAATCTGGAAGCTAAAAGAAATCTTGATTGATAAATATTGATTCAAGGAAGAAGAGGCTGAACCTCTTGCTGATTTCCTCATGCAAGCTTTGCAATGGAAAAATGAAGATAGAAAATCTGCTCAAGAGATGCTCAGACATCCTTGGCTTTCAATGCCATCAAATTACGATTATCTTGTAGAAGGCTCGGATGACGATGAATCACAAAAGGAGGATGACGATACAGCGTCTTGGGTAACTGTTAGTTCTGATGAAGAATCAGATGCTGATGATGAAGAATCAGAAGCTGATGATGAAGATAAAGATAATGATAGCGGATCAACTAGCAGTTATGATTTATGATAAATTAGCTAGCACCTGGACTCAATAAATAATTCAAAAATAGGGGTTTTGGGGTTTTGGGGTTTTGGGGTTTTGGGGTTTTGGGGTTTTGGGG